CCCCTGCCCCTATCACTCCCCGCCTCAATCTCTATCCCATTCACAGCCGTCTCTCGCTCTTACCTGATCGAGTTCAATGCACTGTCTAATTTGATAGCTTAATCAATATGGAGCGTCGAACCCACGATGAATGAAGCCTTAATTTTAACCATGGTTGACATAACCAATTGAATTGGAGTCTAGCATTTTACTGGCAAGCTGGTATTGGTCGTGCTCTCATGTTCTTGTTGAATGCGCTGAAACGTTCAGTTTTAATTAACACATTGCTGCCTCGAACTTTCGACTCAATTACTTGAAAAACACGGCACGCTTCACTGTGCAAGCGGAGCCGTAGCTGAAGCTGAAGCTGAAGCTGGAGTTGGAGCTGGTGCTGCTGCTGCTGCTGGTGCTGGAGCTGGGGGCAGAGTGCGCTCTGCGGATTCATAGCAATGTGAGCTGGGAGCACTCTCTGCGCTCCACTGCGTATCGATGGGCGACTCCCCAGTGGCCTGGCCACACCAGATAGCACTCGGAGTCAGGCAGCAGCTGCTGCACGTCGTGCATACTGTCCAAGTAATTTATAATATGAGCGACGTGCTGATAAATGAGCTGTCGTTGCGCCAGTTGCTAAATATTAACCAGCCAGTCAGTCGCGTTTAGTTACAGTCTCCTAACTGGCAAAGCAAACAATTCGGGCTTTGGTGGGTGGTGCCCAACAACAAGATACCCTGTAGCTGTCGCCATGCGTCATAGATCCCATGAAAATGGGCGAGAGAAAGGGAGATATTGGGGGAAACCAAAAAACAAAATGAGAACAAAACTTGCCTGACTGACTTATGATGTACGGCCGTGTATTTGTCAAATTTGAAGTTTTAGCGGAGTGCGGGGCAGAGTGCGAACGGAGGGGAGCCCCATGACGACCCAGATCGTCGTCCCGATTCGCTTCGCTGCGTCGCTGGAAGCCTTCAAAGCGCTCTAACTGCAATTTAGAACAAGGTCTTTAGACTGCCATTAAGGCACTTTACGTTCCGGCTCAGCATTCCGTATTCGCCATCAAATCATCAACACTTCCCGGCTGCAGCAGCCCCCAAGCGTAGCGCAACATTATTTATGCAGAATTTTTTTTGTGAGTTTTTTTGTTGCTTTTTGTTGTTTTTGTTTTTTGAAACAAAAGCTTCCAACTTAAACTGTCGCAAACGTCCCCGTCAACGCACCGAGCGCAACAAGCGTGAGAACTAGCGCCAGCCATTGATGCCACAGTGGTGCAAGAGACGCTAGAAAACCCATTAAAGCAATCTCAACGAAATCTCTAAAGCAAATCTCGACCATTAACAGCCAAAAATCAAAAGCATAAATCTGCTTAATTGGAGCTACATTGAATGAATATTTTTTAGCTGGAATTCAACTCGGGAACAGCTGCGAACACTCTGAAGACCACAATTGTATATCTCTCAAAAAATATTTTCACATCTATTTTTATATCTCTCTATTTAACTCTATCTCTCTCTATACTTATATATCTCTCAATATCTGTATCTCTATTTTCTCTCTCTTTTTCTATCTCTCTCACTCTATCCATCTCTCTAGTTCTCTATATAACTCTCCATATCTATCCTTCCCTCTCTTATTGCTTTTTTGTCTCTCTTTCTCTCTCTCTCTATGTCACTTCATCCCGATCTCTAGAGAGATACTCTACCGCTCGTTCGATTTATCTCTGTACCTCTAGCTCTCTCCCTCTCTCTTTCAATCTCAATCTCGCTTTGTGCATCTCTCCATCCTTTTCTCTTAGTGCCTTCAGCATATATATTTCTCTCTCTCTCTCTCTCTCTCTCTGCATTTTGCAATTTTGTAGCTATATCTAAAGCTCTGCTAGCATCTAGTATTATATACTCTTAAGAGCTTATTATTTTTTACTGCGTGCGCATTTGTGGACACTGTTCAAAGAGCCAAACAAAATGCGATGCCATTAAGCTTAAGTTGGGAAAAAAATAAAATATAAAAAAATGAGAAAGGAAAACTGCTAGACGAAAAACCATCAAATAAAGCAAAAGTCTTCACATGCACAAAACTTAATGTCTGGGTGTATATATGTGTGTGTGTGTGTGTGTGTGTGTGTGTGTGAATGTACTATGCTGTTTGGTGGCCCATATGTGGCAGTGTGTGAGTGAGACTGGACTGCTATTTGGCAATACAATAAAATTTACACGCTTATTAATTTTTACAAGACTTTGTCCGACACTTGAGCAAACCGCCAGCAACATGAGCGATGAACAACAGCAGCGAAAAACAATAGCAACAACAACAACAACAACAGCAGCACTTGGCGGTGCGTTTTCTGAGGTTCCAGCATGTTTACCATTCACCCACAACACCAACACACACTGAATAGTAGTGGTGCTTGGCGATCATGAAAAGGCGTATGAGCAGTGGGGCGGCGGGGCGGTTGGGGTGGGTATGCGGCTGGGCACCTCTCCAAACAAAATTTCCAACTTATATTTTGTTGTTGGTTTATAATTTTTTTTCCCATTCTGTTCTTTTTTTTTGCTTTTGTTTTTGTTTTTCTTTGCGCTGGCAGCTAGAGCGGACACAAAGGCGAGCGCTGCAATGGGATGAGGAGCGAGAGGCTCGGTTGGGGCGTCATTTTACTCTAAAAAGTTTCGGGGCCTTTGGGCGCTGCTCTCAACGGCGGAATGAGCAAAGAGTGAGAAGTAGGCGGAGGTAGAGCAGGAGCCGTGGGAGGGCGAACTGTGTGCGAATAGCCTCAGCTCGGTTAGTAAAGCTATTGCAGCATTTTTGGTTTACATGTAAATATATAAGCTCAGTCAGTTTCACTATGCAAAATATGGCAAGAGCAACATTTTTCTCTATTTTCCAACGTATTTCAGGCATAGTCAGGGAAGGCCAGCGAGAAAGTATATAAACAACGGTCCTGCCTGTCATGTGTATGTGTAAGCACACACACACTCATATACGCCCACACAGTTGCTTCATAACATCAAAAAGGCGGTGCACGGCTCGCCGCATACTTGAGGTTTGTCCGGGAGTTCTTATCCGCTTCCAGTTGGCATCCTGACCGGCCGAGAGCTGCTTAGGAACTGTCCAACAAGTAGACGGAACTCGTAGCCAGTGCACATGTATGCGGAGTCGAATTTAGTGGGCGGGGAAGTAGTAGAAGAGAAGCAAAGGGGCAACAAAACGATAAGGTGAATAGAATAAAAGAAGGTGGCAGAAGAAAACTAAGCAATTTGCTTGCTTTTCAAATACGTTTAGTTTGAAAAACAGTTTTCCCAGAAAAAACCCGAAAGAGACAGAGAGAGGGAGAGGGAAAATGGCAGACTAAAGGAAACTAAAAGTGATTCGTCGACCGCAGGTGGAAGTTGTCGAAAGTGTTTATAAGATGAAAATTACGAAAGTTGCTCAGCCAAACATCCAGTGAAACACTCGAGCACTTAAATGCTAATTAAAAGATAATACGGACAAGCTGACTAAGCCTGCGGTCGCCAGATAAAAACTGCATGCCCTAAATTAAAGGCAGATGCCCAGTCAAAGCGTTAGAAAAACAACAAATTATATAATAATCAAGTAGTTAAATATAAATAATA